TGAAGTTCCGGAGTGAAAATTCAAACGCGTTCTCTCACGGTGACCAAAAAATGTCCACCTCAGAGGCACCTCCGGAGGCAGGCCGCCGCACGCCGGCGACACAGCTCCAGCTGTCGAACTGACCCGCAGCTCCTCTCAGAGCGGGAACTGTGACGAAAGTTGACTGAGGCGGTTGTCAGGAATCATCATACGGATCACATGGTGGCTCTCTCATGACAGGAGACCGCCCGACCACTCCTGGGTGGCACTGCCACCGGTGTCGCTCGACGTCCTGTCGACAGCGTGCCGACAGCGACACAGACCATGTGGGACGCGCCGAGTATCGACCTCTACTGCTTACCCAGCCTTCGAGTGTATCCTGGCTGTGGTCCCACACCCACTGGTGTCCATCTCAGAGACCGCAGGAGGTCATGAGGGTCGATGGGAGAGCCAACCCCACAATGCCTAAAAACCCAGCCCAGTAGACTACTACCCAACCAGTCTTTCTTCCCTACTATCGTGCCGAGTGCGTCTCTCCCCACTCTCGAATCATTCGGCGGAGCATGTGATGATTGGCGAGGCAAGTGTGCTGGAGCTCCTCGCCCGTCATCGGGCTCGTCGACTTGGTCGCGAGCCAGCGCTCGATCGCCGACCGCTCGTAGGCATGCCCGTCGGCCGCCATCACCGGGTCGCTCATGACCTCGGTCGTGATTGGGCAGATAAAGTCGTCCGGCGGCTCCTCCTCTCCCTCAGGCGGCGCCTCCGCCGCCGGTGACGAAGCGCCCTCGGCGACTCGCGCCTGATCCCCCGCCGCACGCGTCGCCCCGACCTCCAGCCTCGCGCTCTCCTCTAGCGCCGCCGCCAACTCCGCCTCCTCTCCCGTCGCCAGCGCTGCCTCATCCTCGGGCTCCTGCGACGGCCCAGCGCCGCCCCCCCCTCCCTTCCCCCTCTTCTTCTTCTTCTTCCCCTTCTTGCCCTTGGCGCGCTCCCCCGCCTCCTTCTCCGCCTCCTCCCCCGCCAGCAGCGCCTCGGCATGCCGCGTCGCCTCCGCCTCTGCCGCCGCTCTCTCCGCCTCCCTCGCCGCCGCCTCCGCCGCCCTCGCCGCCGCCGCATGCTCCTCGAGGGCGCGCACGCACTCGGCGTGCCGCCCCGCGCCGCCCGCCGCCGCCTCGCGCCGGCTCGCAGTCACCTCCGCGACGTGCTGCCGGAAGGCCTCGACGCACGCGCTGTGGCTGTTCTTCTTGGCATACTGCAGCGCTGACTTGCCGTCCTTAGTGCGCAACTTTGTATCCGCGCCCGCCCGCAGCAAACGGAGCACGACGGCGGGGTGGCCTTGGATGGCGGCGCCCATCAGCGCGGTGATGCCGCCGCTGTCCTGCAAGTTGATCTCCGCGCCGCGGTGCAGCAGCAAGTCAACCACCCGCTCGTGGCCATGCTGGGCGGCGAGCGTTAGCGCGGTGTCGCCGTCGCTGTCCTGCAGGTTGACATCAGCGCCGCGCTGCAACAGCAAGTCGACCACCCGCTCGAGGCCGTTGGCGGCGGCGCTCATCAGCGCGGTGCCGCCGTCGCTGCTCTGCTTGTTGATCTCCGCACCGCGGTGCAGCAGCAGCTCGACCACCCGCTCGTGGCCTTGGTGGACGGCGGCCATCAGCGCGGTTTCGCCGTCGCTGTCCTGCAGGTTGACATCAGCGCCGCGCTGCAACAGCAAGTCGACCACCCGCTCGAGGCCGTTGGCGGCGGCGCTCATCAGCGCGGTGCCGCCGTCGCTGCTCTGCTTGTTGATCTCCGCGCCGCGGTGCAGCAGCAGCTCGACCACCCGCTCGTGGCCTTGGTGGACGGCGGCCATCAGCGCGGTTTCGCCGTCGCTGTCCTGCAGGTTGACATCAGCGCCGCGCTGCAACAGCAAGTCGACCACCCGCTCGAGGCCGTTGGCGGCGGCGCTCATCAGCGCGGTGCCGCCGTCGCTGCTCTGCTTGTTGACCTCTGCGCCGCGCTGCACCAGCAACTCGACCACCCGCTCGTGGCCCTGCTGGGCGGCGTACATGACCGCGGTGCCGCCTTTGCTGCTCCGCATGTCGATCTCTGCGCCGCGCTGCAGCAGCAGCTCGACCACCCGCTCGTGGCCGCTGCTGGCGGCGAGCATCAGCGGGGTGATGCCTTTGCTGTCCTGCAGGTTGACATCAGCGCCGTGCCGCAGCATCAACTCGACCACCCGCTCGTGGCCATGCTGGGCGGCGTACATCAGTGCGGTGCCGCCGTTGCTGCGTTGCAGGTTGATCTCCGCGCCGCGCTGAAGCAGCACCTCGACGACCCGCTCGTGGCCCCACTGGGCGGCAAGCATCAGCGCGGTGACGCCGCTCACATCGCCCGTCCCGCAAGTCGCGTTGACCCGCCCGCCGCTGTCAAGCCACGCCAGCAACGCCGCCTCGTCGCCTTGGAGAGCTGCTTGCCTGGCCTCTTCGGGAAGGCTGCCCAGCGAGCTAGAAGAAGCCGCCGCACTCGCCCCCGCCGCCGCCTCGCCCGAGGAAGCGCCGCCCGCGCCGCCCGCCGCCGCCTCGCGCTGGCTCGCAGTCACCTCCGCGACGTGCTGCCGGAAGGCCTCGACGCACGCGGTGTGGCCCTTCTCGTTGGCCACCTGCAGCGCTGTCTTGCCGCTCGCACTGCGCGCCGACGCGTCTGCGCCAGCCCGCAGCAAGCGGAGCACGACGGCGGGGTGGCCTTCGAAAGCGGCGACCATCAGCGCGGTGCTGCCGCTGCTGCTCTGTAGGTTGATCTCCGCGCCGCGCTGCAGCAGCAGCTCGACCACCCGCTCGTGGCCGTAGCCGGCGGCGTCCATCAGCGCGGTGTCGCCGTCGCTCCTCTGCTTGTTGACCTCTGCGCCGCGCTGCAGCAGCAGCTCGACCACCCGCTCGTGGCCCTGCTGGGCGGCGTACATGACCGCGGTGCCGCCTTTGCTGCTCCGCATGTCGATCTCTGCGCCGCGCTGCAGCAGCAGCTCGATCACCCGCTCGTGGCCGCTGCTGGCGGCGAGCATCAGCGGGGTGTAGCCGCTCGCGCCGCCAGTCGCGTTGACCCGCCCACCGCTGTCAAGCCACGCCAGCAGCGCCGCCTCGTCGCCTTTTACAACCGCTTTCGCCGCCTTTGCGGGAAGGCTGCC